TATAGTTACCTACTATGTGTTATGATCCGGCAACCCCGAAGTGGCAATAATCGAGACCACTCTCGGTGATGACCATAGTTTGAGGAGTTCATTTATTCACTATGTGTTAATGCTTTGGTCCAGTACTCTATTAAAAGGATGCCTTAATATCCCTTAGTTTCCACTAGGACCCCGCTGCCATGGGAGGGTAGGACAAAAGATGCCATGCAAGTTCTTTTCCATAAGCACGTATAACTATATTCGGAATACATGCCTACATTACATTGATGAATTGGAGTTGGTTCTGTGTCACCCTATGTTATGACTGTTACATGATGAACCACATCTGGCATAATTCTCTATCACCGATCCATTGCCTACGAGCTTTCCATATATTGTTCTTCGCTTATTTACTTTTCCGTTGCTATTGTTACCATCACTATAAAATACCAAAAATATTACTTTTGCTACCATTACCTTTTACCGACGTTACCACTACTATCGTATTACTTTCCTACTAAATACTTTGCTGCAGATATTAAGTTATCCAGGTGTGGTTGAATTGACAACTCAGCTGCTAATACTTGAGAATATTCTTTGGCTCCCCTTGTATCGAATCAATAAATTTGGGTTGAATACTCTACCCTCGAAAACTGTTGCGATCCCCTATAGTTGTGGGTTATTAGCAATCAACATCAGAAACTACTTTCAGCAAGGATTCTAAGAAGAAAGTTCGTAGAACAAAAAGATGGGATGAAGGGGGTTGATGCAGATGACGGTAATGATGAAGATGTTGGCGGAGATGATGATCCCAATGATGACCGAAATATTGGTAATGATGATGGATTCAAACTCTCCCTCTCGGAGGGATGGATCTCCAGCAGAATTGGCCTGCGGAAGGCAAAAATGCTCTATCTCAATTCCATCTTGCAAACGGCGGCAAAAAGATCCTAACAAAATGCATGCAAGTTTGAGGTCAAATAGAAATTTATGACCGACGAGCGTCGAAAGGCGGTGGCCAGGGGCCCACACAGCCTAGGGGCACGTGGCCCTGCTACATGATGGCCTTATGGCCCCCTCTGGTCCATCTTCTGGCCTCTGCCTTGTTTCGTTCGGGAAAAAAATAGTAAAATTTCTAGGTCCTTTGGTGCTCCATAAAAATACTTTTTCTTCTATCCTTTGTTTTGCCCCTATTTTCGAGTTGTCCGACATTTTCCTGATAATTTCCCTCTTCGCGTGTTACACGAAAATTTAAGGGAAAGGGGCATTAGAATTGAGCAATTGTGTGCAAAAAATCATTAATAAGGAGTAAATTATAATAGGAAATAGTGATACAAAATGCATGTATAATTGATCACTTATAATGCTTTGGTAGTATTTGAGTGCTCTAATGCTATTGAGCATTGTAATAAGGAGCACGAAACTTTCATCTAAAACGTATGAAATGGTTGATTGGGACTTCCAAAGAAAAACAATGCAGAGGTTGGGTTTCGCTCCCCGGTGGGTGAATTGGATGATGTCCTGTGTGACCTTGGTGATCAACTTGGTTAAATTCAACGGAACACTCCTTAATTCATTTGTCCGACGAGAAGTACACCAAGGTGATCCACTCTCGCCTTTCTTGTTCCTTTTTGTTGTTGATGGTCTTTTTGCACCTCCTACACAGTGAAGTTGCCCAGGGTACCATAACACCGCTCAAAAAATGTCAGAAGGCTCTGGGGATTACACACTTGCTTTCGCAGATGACTCATTGCTCTTTTTAAGGTGGAGGCAACACAAGCGGCTAAAAGTAAAAAAGGAACCTCACAGTATATGCTAAAGAACAGGGAAGTTATTAACCCCCACAAGTGTTCCATCCTTTTTAGTCTCATGTGCCCGACTACTATTCGGGAGGACATTAAAGGTACTCTCCAAATAACTCAGATCACCTTTGAAGAAAATTACTTGGTCTCCCGACACAGGACGGCATAATGAGTCGGGGAAAATCAAAGAGTTTGGATGAAATTAACATTGATAATTACTTATCCATAGGAGCGTGGAGATCAAGATCAAAGTTATTTCTCAGGCCCTCTGGGTCTACATCATGAGTGTGTTAAAGGTTCGATATATCTTCTACGATGAACATGGCAAAGCCAAAACTCACTAGTTGGGCTAGGACATTATGCTCCAACATAAAGGTGAGAGGTGAGATGGGAGTTATGGACCTCAGGTTGTTCAATCAAGCCTTATTAGCCCATTAAGCCTGGCGCCTAATCCAATTCCCTGAGAGCTTATGTGCACACGTCCTCCTCGAGTAAAGCACTACTCTTCCAATGCTTTAACTCATACAATCACACGAAATACCTCCTTGACATGGCCCGCAATTGAATATGGGCTTGAAATTGTAAAACAGGGGTGCACCTGGCATGATGGCAACATGACCAATATTTTGAAGAAAAGTGTTCTTTGGCAAAAAAAAACTAACTTTTTTGAAATTCCCGGGCACTTTTTGGAAACACGGGAATTTATGAATTCATGAACAAAATTTGGAAAATGGTAACATTTTTTTGAAAATTGCTCGTATTTTCAAAAATGTCTTCAAATAATTCATATATTTAACCCTTCCTCTAGTTAACATATATTGTATTATATATATCCAGTATAAATTATTTTAAAAGAAAGTATAAATTCGAAACGGAATTAAAAAAGATATAAAAAACATGTATGAATTTGAAAAAAAAAGGTTCAAAGAAATTCAAAAGAGTTTGTGGAAATAAAAAAAGTTCATCAACTCGAGGAAAACGTTCACAAATTTGAAAAAATCTCATCGATCTTGAAAACAAATTCACAATTTTGGAAAAAGAGTTCATATATTTTTTAAAAAGTTCATCAATTTAAAAATAATTTTATCAATTTTGAGAAAAAGTTCATCCAAATTTTAAAGAGTTCATCCAAATTTGAAAGAAGTTCATCAATATTGAAAAAAACTTCAAGAATTTGAAAAAAGTTCATCGATTTTTTTAAAAAGTTCACCAATATTGAAGAAAGTTCATGAATTTTAAATAATAATTCACCAGTTTGAAAAAAGTTTCATCGAATATGAAAAAAAAGTTTGTCAAATTTTACAAAAGTTCATCAATTTTGAAAAAAGTTGACAAATTTTTAAAATAGTTCATCAAACCAGGAAGAATATAAAATATAAAAGAAAACAGAAAAAAGAAAAAACATAAACATAAACAGAAAAAATAAAAAACAGAAACAAAAACGAAAACAAAAACAGGCAGAAGAAAAAAGAGAACAAAAAATCATAAAGGAAAAACAGGAAAAATATAGAAGATAAGAGTAGAAGATGGAAGCAACCACATCTATTTGCGGTGGTGTGGTGGTTGCTGCAATGTGCAACTAACCAGGAAGTTCGCGGTTGGAATCCTAGTACTAGCTTTGCTTTTTGAGTTTTGGAGAACAGAAACAAAAATCCTTGATGGGCCGGTCCAGATCGTGGGAGGGGGTGTGCCCTTCAGGCGCCCGTTAGCAAAATGGCCTATAACGGGCTTCTCCAGGTAGAGTCGTGAGGCTAATGTGGTCTGTATGTTCTTTTTGGGCTTGGGCTTGCTAGAGAGGCGCCGTCGAAAGATGACGTAGAGCTTAATGTTGAAGGAGTGGCTATGTATCGCCTTTTGCGAGATCAAAGGAGGCCTCGCCTTAAGGGCAGCCTTCTGTCGTTACTATTGGGCCGACCCAAGTAGCTTCAGGTTACCTTTTTTATATATTCGTTTGTTAGAAATTTCCTAAAATATTCTAAATACATATATTAAAAAACCTTGCAATTATTTTTGACTTTAAAAACCACGAATTTGAAAATGTTAACATGGTGGAAAAATCGTTACAGTAGTTTACAAAAATGTTGATAACATTCAAATAAGTGTTCACAGCATTTAAAAGATGTCAACACGTTTCAAGAAAATGTACATGACATTCGTAAAAATGTTTATATTTTTTTAAAATGTTTGTGTAATTTTTAGAAAATGTTTTTAGCGCTCAAAAAATATACATTACATTTTTTGAAAATGTTTACGCATATAAAAAAATGTTCAGGACATTTTAAAAGTTTGTTATGTATAGTTTAGAAAAATATTTTGTGTCATTCAAAAAAAAGATTCAATGTTGAAAACACGTTTTACACTAATTCGGAGAAATGTTCAAAAACATGTATTTGAAAATAATGATAGACATGTATATAAAATGTTTTAGATGTATACAATAAATATACAATGTGTATGTAAATATAGACACCAATAAATCATGTATTTGAAAAAATGTTAGACATGCATAAGAAATGTTCTTAATGTATCCCAAAAATGCACGATGTGTATGAAAGTATGAAAAAAAAAGTAGATGTGTTGAAAAAAAAAAGACGAAGACAAAAGGAAACTGAAAAAGAAACAAAGAAAACCCAAAAAATAAAAAAATAAACGAATAAGAAAAGGAAACCAAAGAAAATCATAGAAAACCTGAAATAAACTGTTGTTAACAGTGAAAACTGATAAGAAAGGCAGCAGAGAGGAAAAAAAACAAGCTAGAGGTGCTACGGTACTAGGCTGGCCCACTCCCTCGAGCCCAGAGGCGAGACCAAGTTATGTCTTGGTACCAGCAATATATAGGGAGGCAGCTATGTATCCCCTGTTGCGAGACCAAAGGAGTTCTCGCCTCAAGAGCTCCCTGCAGGTTAGTTCGTTTTTTTTGCTCTTTTGTTCATATTTTCAAAAAGGAAAAATACATACAAAACCAACGTCTTCCAGGTTGATTAATACATGTCCCTTGTTTCCACGCAAAAAGAAAATGCTACTAGTATGGTACCCTTTGCAAATCTTGACCATGCATTGCACCATCTTATGATACACCGATTTACCATGCTTACACTAACATAAGGAGGAACTTTAGGACAACTCTCGAAGAAATTCATAATGTAGATTGTATCCGCTATCAAGTTGGCTGCATTGATTTACATCTGGAATCAGAGGGATGTCGCAGCTGGCAAGATGTCAATTGCTGAGACCAAGGAATTCTGTGAAACTAGGATATTTGGGCTCCCAACCGATCTCAGCCCGAGTTTTGGAATTATCCATCCTCTTCCCCAATGGACCGTCTGTACCTGAAAAACTTTGTAATCGTGTTCGCAATAAACCCCCCAAGAAAAACAGCTAGACTAAACAACTAACCTGTGAAGCCCTCAAACTTGCCGTCAAATTTCTCGCTCCTGTTAACACGGTCCATGATTTCTTGCCTGCAAAGCCCCCAAACTCATCTCAACACAGTTGCAAGGCAGAGCAAAACTGAACTTAGATGAGCAGACGGCGAGCTGAGAAAGATGAAGGTTGTAGTGACCTGGACAGAGGTTGGTTGTCACAGCCCACAAAGACACGCCCGCGAAGTTTCCTCTTCATGATGGCAATTCCAAGCGAAGCAGCATCCTGCAAATAGCACAAGTAGATGATACAAAACATATCCTTGATATACCATTTCACCCACATGTAATCAACAGAACAGACGGTCTTGATAGAATTTATTTATGTCAATAGAATGATAGGCATGGATACCATTCTGAGCATTTATTTAAATTGTAAAGAGGAATGAACTTGGGCAAGGATGGCATTTGATCAAATATGGGTTGGGTTGAGATATGTTGAAACAATCTAACTGCAACAAACTCATCTAGAGACTATCCTATCATTTAATAAACAAGTAGAAGATCTTACTTCATAATGGATCATACTGATTATGAGATCTGGTCGTGCATCTACAGTTCCTTTTGACAACCAGAAAACATGAGGACCTTGATCCTTTTTGTGTGGTAAGTCAAGGAAACAAACTGCACTGGTTCTCTCCACTCTGATGTATTAAGAGTTTGGAAAAATTTATGTTTAACAATGCTTGATGTTTGGAATAAAAAGTAGCCTCATTGTGAGGATATATAAAGCCCTGCTAGCCTCAGGGCACAGCCTCCTGCCTCGAGGACGACATTTTCTGCTTTTAGAAGGACGTCAGTCCGAGGACTCCTACCAATCGGCACACAAGGAGAATCCTACAAAAGCGAAATGGAAAATCAAGGTCAAATAAAATCAAGATAGTAGGAGGTAATACGAGAGCATCACCAAAAAGTAAAAGCTTTCGACAAACTTCAGCTTACTTAACGACTAATTTATCATTTACTGCAATATTTTTCTTACAAAAAAAGAATAAAAAGATAAGAAATTTTTGATTCTTTACAATAAGCAGTTTAGATTAGATTTAAACTTATACCTCGCCACAAAATCCATTGTCATTGCAGTCATACACGGCAGTACTTGATGTAAACAGGAAAGAACCTTCCCCACTCCAGTTTGATGCAGCAACTCTGCACATTTTTTCTGAAATAAGATATTGTACATGTCCTTCATACACTATTTGGTGTTTGCTCCACAAAGATGCATGCAAGTGCATGTCATGTTTTATTGTAATAACATTATTTTATTTGCATCAATAATTCGTCTTGGGTATGTATTAATATGTACAAAAATATCATCGATCACTCCTAGTATCCTGACAATTAATGGGAAATAAGAATGCCTGGTGCGCGTGTTAGTAGTTTCCATCTCCCATTTATTATCATTACAGTATAAATCACTATTGAAGCTAGCAGTTCTCATACATAGTCTTATCACATTTATAATAAAACAATCTCAACTGGTGCATTATGTTGATATAACAAACTAGAGATGCAACTACAAAAGCATATATTTGAGTGAAAAGACATAATGGGAAAAACACCTCTGCTCAGACTCCTAGAGGCCGAGAACTATTCCCATCTTATGTTTCTCAGTTTGTGATAAATCTGATATATAAAGGTACGCATACGAGGGAAGGAAGCTTCCCATTTCTCCATTTAGTAGTAAATTATGCTAAAATAGATTGGATTCATGTATTTGTCCACAGTACCATGCGATGATGGTGTTAACAACATTATCTCTCACGTCCTACTAAATATCCAAATTTTAATACAATGTTCTTTCTATGTATGTGACTTTAATCTTTTCAGCGTCTTGATCATTTGAAGGTATATATATCACATTAAGCCTAGACTAATTTATGTTTATCAAGTTTGCAACATAAGCTTCAGTTTTCACAAATTTTTGTAGGAAAGATGGGAAACTCAGAATCAAATTTCCATATAACAAAATGGATGGAGGTACGAAAGCAACCCTCAGCCATGTTTTTACCAAAAAAAAAGCATAGTCAAATTTCTCAGTGTGTCCATCTGCAGTTCCTGCAAATAGTGCACGCCCCATCCATCTCTTTCTCTTTGAATTTAATTTGATCCTAGAGAGCAGTATAACACAATGATTATGAATCCAAACTACTACCTCCATAACAAAATATAAGACATTTTTGGTAAAGAAGGTGTACCTATTTTCTTCCATGGGTAGGATTAGATAAAGAGAAAACATCATGCATGACTTCATAAAAACAACCGAATGACATATATGGCATCTCTAAAATAACATACCATCTACACAGATTCGAAAAATACTCTAGCTCCTTCTGAACAACTATGATTAGTGACAATAATAGATACTTTTGTATTTTCAAAACATATGAATATGAAGTCCAAAAAACTATATTCATACATAACCACACGCCATATATACTTCCTATATCCAGAACATTTGCTAAGCACACAACTATTTTCTAGATGCATGTCGCCAAACATTATAAGCATGCCGATTTGAAGACTCATTTTGTTATCAGGAAATATCCCACCGTGATGTACCATCATATACAAAAAATATAAAATATACTGCAATCAAACACTTTGCTTACCTAAGATCCCCAGGGTAATCATCCGTGCGATATGGAGGAGCACAAAAAATAACGTATGGAACTTTCTGATCAACTCTGGGTCCCTTCAGGGAGGGAATTATCCCAATTTTAGTTAGTTCACTGTGATGATCTGTGGTTGCAGTCTGGCCATAAATTTTGCAATCTGGATGCTCCTGTAAGATATATTAAAGCTATGCTTGAATTCTTTACAATATTTACAAGGAAGAAAAAAAATTATAAGCATACAATTCTCACGTTTGGCAGACAGAAAAGATACATATAGTGGATATCAAATACTGGTTTTCAATGAAAATATCTTCAGGATTTACTAGTTCCAAGGCCACCGGAGAAATGATAACATGCTATGAGGAACAAATGACATTTAACTAGAAACAAGACCTGATTTGAACATGACAAATTGTTTTCTTTCATTAGCTCGGAAAATTCAAACCTCTCAACAAAATAATCATTTCATTAGCTCAACGTGGTATGAGGAAAGTTCTTGATATTTTAAAAATAACAGGCGAGCTACTTAGCGAGGAAGATACTTCTCCTACCTGTCGCCATTTCTCAGCTACGATTCGACCAAGCACACCAGGCCCGACAATCAGCAAGTCATTCTGACCAACACTCTCCGATGTGGACACCGTGACCCCTGCATCATGAGATACTCCTGCTGTCATCAAGGAGAATAATACAAGAAAAAGAAAGGATATATTAAAACAGGTGCCCTGTCAATTAGGGGCGCACGTGGAGAGTCATGTGCAATGGAACTAAATTGAAAAGGGTGCTGACGACGGCTTCCCCTTAAAGTGAATAAGCATCTACTCATAAAAATAGGACCCCAATAGCCAGCAAACGTTCCCCGGGAAGCATGGCATCTGCGAACATTTTTTATGGCAAGTTCTTCAAAAGCACATGGCAATTTCTTCAGGAACACATGGCAGCTTCTGCAAAGAAGGGATTTTGCTGTGAAAATTCCCGTGTTTGCCTGAAAGAATTGCCATGCTCCCGCAAGCGAAAAATATTAGCAAATGTCATCCTTCCCAGGGGACATTCGCTGGATAGCATGCCCTTAAAATAAGAACAGGGCCTAAATAACCATTAAAATAAGCATCTAGTCAATGTTTATCATGAGAATTGCATCGGGGAACCCCCTAAACCCGGAATCCGTTGGCGCATTGCGCTATTTCTTGCGTGCGATGTTCCAACTGATCTTCCTGGTCTGGAATCTAGAACTATAGTTCTGGCGATTTGCTGAATTCAGCACCTTTCTACCTAATCGAGCCCACGCCCCTTCCCGATTTCAACAACCCTGCCTGATCTAGCACGCCATGCGCTTCACAGTAGCATCCCAATTTTGGCTAGGTCAAGTTAAAGGTTCGAAAACTATTTGCGAGAAAAGCACGTACCGAGGGGGCCGGTGGAGGCCATCGGGAAGCGGCAGCGGGATGCGAACGCTGGGGGTGCAGCAGTCATGGTAGCCGATAGTGGTAGGTCGACGCCATGGCTTTGTAAAATTGGTTCTCGGACACCGGTGTGCTGCTATGGGACAGGTGGCCAGTTGCGTCACGCGAAAAACAACATCATTAAATTATTAATTTTCAACCATGTAAATGCGAACTAATCGTGTCTTGGTCAGGTTCCTCGTGGCGAAACCAACCCACAAAGATTTTCAATTCCTAAACTTACACACAGGTTTTCATCAACTACGAAGATGTGGCTCGGTATCTCAAAGATGCTCACAGAGTTAAGGCGTGCATGCGTTTATAGAGTTAAATGTATGTGTGTATGTGAGCATTTGTGCTTGTATTGTGTGCAAAAAACAAAATCCTACTAATCCACTTTTTATGACGATTTGGCTGAAAAAACTTCTCCCTTTGTTCACAAATACTCTCTCTGTAAACTAATATAAAAGCGTTTAGATCACTATTTTAGTGATCTAAACACTCTTATATTAGTTTATAGAGAAAGTATAAGATATTCTAATAATCTTATATAAATTAGATGTATATAAACACATAGTACGCCCCGACTCCGTGTTTGTTCCATCGGTGTCTCACATGATATTGTGCCTCTGGTACCTCCTCCTCCTCTGTACTCTTCTGTCACCCACTCGGCACCCCGGCACCGTCTAGGCCAACACATCATTCACGGTGGAGCCACAATGTAAATATAAAGGGCAAGACAACAATGAAGGAGAGCAATATTTTTGTATCTCACAAACTACAGAAGAGTACTATACCCAGATGTCACTCGCAGTCGGGGCAGGTCTAGCTGTAGCTTATAGTGTTGAACAACTCCACATTCGCACAGGTTGGCATTAGGACTTTAGGAGCACCAGCCCGACCCTCACGTCGCTCCCGTGCGAGCGACTCAAGCGGACGACTCAACCCTAGCCGCCGCCAGAATCTTGTCCCTACTCTCCGTCGCCGGAGTTCGCCACAAGGCGAAGCCGTGCGGATGATGGTGGCGGCGGGTACCTTTTGTTCGCGACTCTGGGCAGCACTCAGGCACGCTGGGAGCTGCTCGGTAGTCCAACATGTCAGCCCGCAAACTAGTGATTGGATTCGTCGATGTCGTGGGGCTCGCCGCGCAGGCGCGGAGCTATGAGAAGGCGTTGGGAGTTGCTTGCTAAAGCCGGTCCACCCGATGAGCATCTACTGTCCATGGCGTGTGGCGGTGATATCATGCCAGTGCACAAAGCTATTGTAGCACTTTCATGATAAGTAAAGTGTCAAGCCCACAGGGAGTGGAAAGTCGCTTACGTAGTTTCGTACGCACCCAAACTAGGATTTGAAAATACTCTACTCTATACATTGCTAAGAAAACGAGTAAAAAGGAGTTCTGCTAAACTACAAACGGAAAGGTAAAAACAGGAAAAAAAGAAACTAAGTTAGCAGAGACGATGCTTGAGTAGTAAAGCATTCTTGATGGTTCCAAAATCATTACTACTAGTATGCACATTTTTTCTCATATCCACTCTTCATGTGCATAAGTGGGTGGATCTGGGTACAATACATGTTCTACTCTCATGTAGACTTTATGCCACATACGTCACCAACTGTAGCTCCCACATACTGATTATAACTACGATTAATTAAGGGTTCCCCGTGGACGCAGCCTGACCAAGGGTTCTCTTTTATTCACATACCAAATGCAAAGACACAAAATTGAGGCTTTTATTATCACCTCTAATTACGTCAACATCCTAACCTCTAAAATGACAGTAATATGTTTCATGACAATAAGGCAATAATGCGAGCGAGACCTCCTCTCAACATTCGCGAAGGCTACTACCAAGAACATGATGAGAGAATTATTAATCGCATAAAGAGTTCATCCATATCCCAAAGAACTAGTACAACTACTCAAACATATAAACGAACGACACAAAATAAAGAGTCAAGTTAGAAGACGACATCGTGACAGTGAAGGGAGAACACATGATGGTGATGGAGAGGGCATCGCCGATGGTGGTGGTGATGATGATGGCATCAGCGATGGTGATGATGATGGCATCAGCGATGGTGATGGAGATGGGGGCGGCCTCGATGGTGCCTACATGGTGGAGATGGCATTGCCCCGAAGGTCGGTGTGCGCGATGGCGGAGCCTCCTCATCTTCCCTTGGACTTGTCCTTCCTTGTATGGTGGTGGAGATGGAGCAGCAATGGAGATTGACCTAGGATAATGGTGGCAATTAGGGTATGGAGAGGTATTTACAATGTCTCTCCCAAAACCTCCTCCGTTGATGATGGTTGCCTCCTTTGATCCAAAGGCTCAAGTGTCGGGAAACGTAGTAATTTCAAAATTTTCCTACGCACATGCAAGATCATGGTGATGCATAGTAACGAGAGGGAAGAGTGTGTCCAGGTACCCTCATAGACCGAAAGCGGAAGCGTTAGCACAACGTGGTTGATGTAGTCGTGCGTCTTCACGATCCGACCGATCAAGTACCGAACGCACGACACCTCCGAGTTCTACACACATTCAACTCGATGACGTCCCTCGAACTCCGACCCAGCCGAGCTTTGAGGGAGAGTTCCATCAGCACGACAGCGTGGTGACGGTGTTGATGTTCTACCGTTGCAGGGCTTCGTCTAAGCACCGCTACGATATTATCGAGATGGACTATGGTGGAGAGGGGCGCCGCACACGGCTAAAAGATCCAAGAGATCAATTGTTGTGTCTATGGGGTGCCCCTCTCCTCTGTATATAAAGGAGGGGAGGAGAGGGCCGGTCAAGGGGAGGAGGCGCGCCCAAGGGGGAGTCCTACTCCCACCGGGAGTAGGACTCCTCCTTTTCCTATTTGGAGAGGGAGAGGGAAGGAAGAGGAAGGAGGGAGGAAGGAAAGGGGGGCCCGGCCCCCCTCCCAATTCGGATTGGGCTTGGGGGGTGCCTCCTCCCTTGCTCCTTTCCCCTCCTTTACACTAAAGCCCATTAAGGCCCATATACCTCCTGGGGGGGTCCGATAACCTCCCGGTGCTCTGATATTATCCCGATCTCACTCAGAACCATTCTGGTATCCAAATATAGTTGTCCAATATATCGATCTTTACGTCTCGATCATTTCAAGACTCCTCGTCATGTCCGTGATCACATCCGGGACTCCGAACTACCTTCGGTACATCAAAAACCATAAACTCATAATATAACCATCATCGAACTTTAAGCGTGCGGACCCTACGGGTTCGAGAACTATGTAGACATGACCGAGACACGTCTCCGGTCAATAACCAATAGCGGAACCTGGATGCTCATATTAGCTCCTACATATTCTACGAAGATCTTTATCGGTCAAACCACATAACAACATACTTTGTTCCCTTTGTCATCGGTATGTTACTTGCCCGAGATTCGATCGTCGGTATCTCAATACCTAGTTCAATCTCGTTACCGGCAAGTCTCTTTATTCGTTCCGTAACACATCATCCCGCAACTAACTCATTAGTTGCAATGCTTGCAAGGCTTAAGTGATGTGTATTACCGAGTGGGCCCAGAGATACCTCTCCGACAATCAGAGTGACAAATCCTAATCTCGAAATATGTCAACCCAACAAGTACCTTCGGGGACACCTGTAGAGCACATTTATAATCACCCAGTTACGTTGTGACGTTTGGTAGCACACAAAGTGTTCCTTTGGTAAACGGGAGTTGCATAATCTCATAGTCATAGGAACATGTATAAGTCATGAAGAAAGCAATAGCAACAAACTAAACGATCAAGTGCTAAGCTAACGGAATGGGTCAAGTCAATCACATCATTCTCCTAATGATGTGATCCCGTTAATCAAATGACAACTCTTTGTCTATGGCTAGGAAACATAACCATCTTTGATCAATGAGCTAGTCTAGTAGAGGCATACTAGTGACACTCTATTTGTCTATGTATTCACACATGTATCATGTTTCCGGTTAACACAATTATAGCATGAATAATAAACATTTATCATGATATAAGTAAATAAATAATAAATTTATTATTGCCTCTAGGGCATATTTCCTTCATCAAGGTGAGCCTAATCCTCTCCTAAGCCTTTCGCTATTGGCCAAGGATCGTGTGGGAACAAATGGGGATGAAATCTGTGAAGAACACTGTTTGGAAGGGCAAATTTCAGGCCTGTCTGCACGGTCGTACTAGACGTCATTGAATGCTCTGGAATCTTTCATATTTTAGTCGCCATTTCTTCATACGTAGTTTAATTTTGACGTTCTTGGGCTCATTGGAATCACGTGAATGGCGTCGGAGCGCCAACGATATTTGGTCTTGATTTGGATCCCTTTGGAAAATCACTTTTTTAACCTCCCAAATGTCGAACTCTAGTGTCGTCAGTCCTCCACATTGAACCTGTCTTTGGTCCCTTTCATCATGCTTGGTCCTAGGTTGCTCCAAAACACCTATGGACACAAGAAAATAAATAAAACTAATAAAAAACAAATAAAATACTTGTAAGTGCATCTAGTGCCACCCCTAGTTGGTTTTGGAGTATTGATGCCAAACTTGGTTGAGGCACTAATGTGTTTGTGAGATTTACAGGAGAACACGGGTAGAAGTCCCCATTGATTCGGTTTATCCATCGAAGATGACCCCTAAAAATGTATGAAGACATTGGTGGTTCACAAAGACATTCGCGTCGAAGATAATGACGCATAAAGACATTCACTTGAAGACAATGGAGTGCGAAGACATAGTTTCTTTCGTAGTTTCATTTTCTCCTTTCCTAAGTCATAGGAACCACCGAACTATTAAGTGGGGTCCAGATGAACAAAGTTAGAAAACTGACGTGATGCTCAACCCAAATCCTATATGTCTTCGAGCAAAGAAAAATGAGAGAAAATATTATCGTAAGTTGGATGAGTCAGCTTTGCTTGTAGCCCAAGGCAAGCTGTCGAGTGTGTTTGAAATCTGACCTTGGACATGTGTCGATCGTCCATTGACCTAGGGTCATTTCGGACAAATCATGTAGGGTTTCCCCTG